CCCGAAAGAGTTTGTTCGCAGCCAAACTAAATAATAACGTTCATTCGTGAAAACTGGGATTTCCTTTTAATGGGGAGGGGGAGGGGGCTCGTTGCATACAAACCCAAGTTAAACAACTTGGTAGGCAGAGTTTTTAACGGGAGAACTTGTAACTGGGGATATTTATATCAATGGGGGAAAAGTTGAAAATTAAGGAAGAGGTATCAAGGAAGAGCTTAAAGAGTCTGACAAACAATAAAAATTGTAAGAAAGATTGTCGTTTTACAATTTTGATCTGCTCCTTCTTTGCAGACTTGTGTATCTTGATTGCAGGGATGGCGAGGGCCCTTATCCAGGGTAGCTGAAGTTCTTTTGTTTGCACGAGTCTTTGACAGACAGATTGGCTTAAAACCAGACGAGCGGAGAGGGAGGACGAACAGGGGGTGGAGTGGGGGAAGAGGGTCAGTTTCACGCATAAGTAATAGGTCTTTTCACGCCTCACGAGAAATTCGAAAAACAACTTCACATTCACAGAAAAAAGCAGGCAATCACGTTTCACGTAAAAATGCAAAGGCCAAATCATGTTTCACATAAAAATACAAATTCTATTCACGTTTCGCAAAACATACAATTACAAATACATCTAGTTTTACATCTAGTTTGGTGTAGTTTACGAGCTTTACTGCGCCTTTCAATAACATGCGGACTCTAAAATTCAAAGTTCAATCGACAAATACGTATTTCGCAACCGTCAATCAAATGTTCGGCGGCTCCTCCTAGCTTCCAACTACTGCCGAACACTGTTTCTTTGTCTGAACTGTGCTGCAGTAGTCGGAAGCTGGGAGGAGCCGCCGAACATTTGATTGACGGTAGCGAAAAATGCATTGTCGGTTGAGCTTTGAATTTTAAGAGTCCGCATGTTATTGAAAGGCGCAGAAATGACGCTAAATGAAATCTCCAAAAAAGTGAAAAATTATTCCCGCAAAAGTCGTTGATTCACAAATCACGCGTAAGTAAATGCATATTTCACGGATCACGAAAAAGTCGAAAACCAGTTCCCCGAGGACAGAAAAATATAGATTCACGAAGCACAGAAAAAATAAATCCTCATTCACGCTTCACGGAAAAGCAAAAACGCCTATTCACGCGTCACGAAAAAAAGTATAGGGGACCCGCGGGGAATAAAAATCAATTATAATCAACGGAAAGAGGCTTGTTTCACAAGGACTTGTTCACTGTGGAGTAGGGTGTACATCGTGACTTGACAGATAAACATTTACCATGTTCATGTTCCGTTAAGTCAGTGTAAAGCCCGGGGTCACCACAAGATAATCAAAGATATAAAATTTAATTCATGCTAATTCACCTTATTTATAGTCGAGAACAGTTCAACTGGAAACGGATAGTGACATGCGACTGCGTGATCACATGACGGACTGGCTTGTAAAGCTGAAGTTTTGCCAAGTTGGATAGAGTTGTGATTCCATTGCACGCCAGACACACTCCAGTTCATCATGTACCTGACAGTTTTATCATCTGCGATTCTGCTGTGTAGTTTCGACGCTGCCTTCAGCTCAGCTCAACCAAGGCATCCGCGAGCCAGTGGCCAGTGTCGCAGCTTTGTTGATGGCCCGCTTGGTTTCTGCTCGGCGATAGGTGGATACAATACTACATTCCAGTATCCGGACATCGTGACTGATTCAGTGCTAGAAAAAGTAGCCAACAGGCTCCGTAGATATTTTTCTACTTTGAACAAGTGTTCAAAGGTTGGATTAGTTGAATCGTTGTATTGCTCATTTGCTATTCCTTACTGCTCTGGAGGACAACGTGTATATCCTTGCAAACGAGTTTGCAGCGAGTTTTTGAAGCAATGCGAGGAAACGCTCCCTCCAACGTTCTTGGACTATATTATCGCGAATTGTCACGTTCTCCCAAATGAACTAGCGAGCAGTGGCAAGTGCTTTGAGCCACCTAACTTCTACACCAACGAGAGCATCAAAGGTGAGAACAAAATATTACCTTGATTATTTGAGAAACCGTTAAGTATAAGTTAATTAAATTTTCGTTGGTAAATACAAAAATGTATTTCTTTTATAAGCGCTGTAACCGGATAACGAATTTGATGCATATTTCCGGTATTTCTGAGTTTGTCGATAGGATAAACATATTAAATTTTGTTGGCAAATATTCAAAATTTGTATATTAGTCGCCCTGGGTTCTTAAACGGTCAAATTTTCTCAAATTAAAACTGAAAGTTCAAAAACGTTAGCCATTTAAAATGCTTTTGTGTTTCTTGCGAAAAATATCAGGTTTATTACAATAAATCTTGGTCAGTATTTTGTTTTAGCTTACCTGACGGAATGCGATGAGCTTGAGTGCACAAGCTGAGTCATGTTATCTTTTGTTTCTAAATTTCAATTCGATCTGATGAATTGTTTCGCTCTATCGATTATATGACAGGTACTCAATACGCACAAATAATATCGCAAAACGCAGTCTAAAATCACCGCGACGTTATTCATGGAGCAGGGCCAACGGCTTTGACATGCTTGTGAAAACAAAAGTAAACTGTTCCAGGGAGTAGAAGTGAGGTAGAATGACGAGTGATATGCACTCTTGTTCAAACGCTATGTGTTTGCGACCGCACATGATGGTGGAGAGATACGCCAACAGAAATATAACTACTACAACTAATACTACTACTACGAGTAGTAGGACGAGGACGAGGACGAGGGCGACTGCTACCGCAATCAGGAAACTAACTCTTAAACTGAATTTAAGGCGCAAAGGCAGTTTTAAAACCGCTGTATCCGTAGAAAGTCCAGCATCCTGTAACATTTGAAACACTGAGTAAAATTATGTAACAACACGAACTTCAAGCGCCTGTGTATAATAATATAGTTAGGAAACATTAACAGAATGAGCGGAGGCGGTAGAAAGCATTTGTTCTTGCAAGACCACTGCGTTTGCGTCTTTGAAAGACGGCATAGTTGCAAATGTCTGTTACCCGCTCGTACCCTTTAGGAATGACTGGCTTTGAAACGCTTAGATGTCAGTAAAGTTATAGACCCTTTGACTTCTGTTGTGAAACGTGCTTGCGTATAATTCGAAATAACTTCAAGAAGGTTGGCTTATGTTACCGACAATGAAATAAAGAATTATCTAGGGAAATTGTGCGCGCAAATTTGGTTTTGAACATCCTGTGACGTAGAGGAATGTGTGACTTTTGGGTGTAATTTACGGAGTTGTTAATCGGATTAGCCCGAGTGAAATCATGCAATAGAAAATACAATAGGATCTTAGAAAACCACAAATAAGTATTAAGAATATAATGGCTTTATGTAGTTTAGCCGTGTATTTCCGTTGTAATAACCAATAAATAGAATCGCTATCCTGTAACTGACAGAATGAATAGGGATCGATTGAATGTAGAACGTGTGGATCGTAAATAAACGTAAGAAAACAGAACGATACAGTCCGATTGATTGCTGAACCAGCGGAACGCAGAGATTCCCTTAACGCTGTGGAGAATTCTGCAACAACTTCTCCATCATCACATCTCTGACCCCCGAGGTCATGGTCGCATCTGGTCAGTGAGTTCTGAACTGACTCAGTCTGTATTGTTGCTCTTTTCTATAGGTCCACTGGAACGAGGCTGTCAAGAACTGGTAATCCCCGCATGTAAGAACCTTGGTATATCGAACCACACCCTCATAACAGTTGAAAACCAGAAACATTGGTATCTCCACGCCTACGATAAGCATTACAATGAGAAGAACCCGCAGACAGACTTCCCTCCAGTTTTTCTAAAAACGTTAGAGAAGTATCCTAAGTGCAAGGAGAACCTTAAGAAGCTGTATTGTGGGGAGTATTTTCCACCGTGCTTTCCCGACGAGGGTGAAGGACATTACTCCATTTGTAGGTCGGTTTGCGATGACATTGTCAGGGACTGTCCGGAGTTTTTCAGGTAATTTAATAGGATTTTAAGAAAACCACGACGGCAACGGCAACGGGAATAACGTTAAACAAAAGGTTTGATAAGCAGAACAATGGCTGCGAACGTGCGTTATAACTCTTGGTACCTAGTTTCTTTGCCGTCCACTGCAAAACAACAACGTAAAATGACCAAATTCTGCGTTGTCTGGAGAACTTGAACCACGACGGCTATTTATTTTATTTTTATTTCAAATGTTTCGCCCTGCCCCAGATTCAGTTTTGCGGTAGTTTTAATACTGAGAACAAAGTAAATGACTTAAGAGTATCGCGAGATACCTAGGTAAAATATAAGATCATTTTTTATTCGACGTTGTCCTTGGCGTCGCGTCTTGGTTTCTTAAACTCCCTAATCCCCCAAGAATACCCGGAAATACTAGGCAAACAAAATAATTGCTGTCTGCATCGGAGGTGCTCCTTTTCCCCGCGGCAAAATGCCATTTGTGGGCTGCGCCAACTGGATATCGGCCTACAGGAAGCCATCATATATGTGCAACAACTTTGCACCCGGCCTTGCGCACTAGGTCGATTTTCAACACTCATGCCGCCAGACGTCGCAACAGCGTGGCCAGACGCGCGCAACATGTTGCGCCCAACAATGTTGCGATATGTTGTGCTGAAATGTTGTGATCGTTTGGCCGGAGTTTGCAAATGCTGGGCCAACAATGTTGCGATATTTTGTGTTGATATGTTGCAATCGTTTGGCCGGGGCTTAAAGTCGTTTTCCTTTGTTCCTTAAGCCCCGGCCAAACGATCGCAATATGTCAACGCAACATATTGCAACATTGTTGGGCGCAACATGTCGCGTACGTTTGGCCACCGTGTTGCGATGTGTTGCGAAATTTTGGGCGTTGTTGGCTCAAGTTTGAAAATGGTCAAATTTGAGCCAACAACACCCAACATGTCGCAACACATCGCAACACGGTGGCCAAACGTACGCAACATGTTGCGCTCAACAATGTTGCAATATGTTGCGTTGGCATGTTGCGATCGTTTGGCCGGGGCTTCAAATTTGAAAAGGGGCAATTTTTCATGCAACATTTGTGGATGTTGTATGATCTATGTTGTAGTCGTTTGGCCAGGTTCGTGCAACAATGTTGCGCACTAGTTCGATTTTCAACACCCAACATGTCGCGACACGTCGCAACAGGGTGGCCAAACGCGCTCAACACGTTGCGTCCAACAATGTTCCGATATGTTGCGTTTAAATGTTGCGATCGTTTGGCCGGAGCTTGCAAATGTTGGAAGAACAATGTTGCGATATGTTGTGTTGACATATTAATTCCGAACGTATGACCGGGGCTTAAGCGTCAAAGCTATCACGAAATTGAACCTCGGACAGGGCGAAACATTTGAAATAAAAATAAAAAAAATTAGCCGACGTGGTTCACGTTCTCCGGACAACGCAGAATTTGGTCATTTCACGTTGTTGTTTTGCCGAGGACGGCAGAGAAAATAATGTACCAAGAGTTATAACGCACATGCACGGCCACTGTGCCGCTCATTAAACCTTTTGTTTAGCGACGTTTCCGTTGCCGTTGCCGTCGTGGTTTTCTTAAACTCACTAATAATAACTCATTGTAGACTGCAAACCACACACCGCAAGCTAAATCATAACAGGTCTATTATTGACATTTGCAGGGATGATTTTGTGAATGCTGAATACTGTGCGTTACTTGGAAATGGAAAGACTAGTCATGGATATTGCAAGCGTGCTGAGTGGCCCCGACCCTTCTTCTATGCTCATTACTTGCAAGGTAATTAGTTTGAGCAAAGTTGTCTAAATACATCCAGGAAGAAAGTCACTCTAAAGCGAGTTAATACATCATGTGTCAAATAAGTAAACAAGTAAGCTTGTCAAGAAGTAAGTGCGTAGGCAAGCAAGGAAGTAAAAAACTGCATATGCAAAGCCTTATACACGGTGCACGCATGTTTCGGTGCGGTTGTA